ACGCTGTACTGCTGATGTATAATACTGACCCAACAAATGCACAAGGCGAAATCCAACCTTAAAGCATTACGTCAAAAGAACAATATTTATGAACTGAGTTTCACGAGAAAGAAAAATATCAGCAAAAACAGGTAACCTGAGGATATTTCATCTTGACAAAATTCAGCAGGCCTTCAGGAAGGCGAGCTAATTGCGAGAAGCGGATTGCAAGCACAGTAGTGGAACGCGGAACTCGCTGCAGCACCTGAAAAATACTCATTTTCTAACGTAATGTTACGGATATGGGAGTAGCAGGGAAGCAAAAATTTATTAAGAAGCAGTGTTTCAAAAAATCAAAAGTTAAAGTAAAAAACAAGATACGCAGAATATGCAAAAATCAGAGCAGAACGCAGATAAATGTGAAAAGACTATAAAATACTTCTATCATGCCCAAAACGTCGCCCCGCCCGAATTCCTCAATAATTTGTTTATTTTCCACAGATCGAAGTCGTCCACTTAAAACGACGAAAATTGAATCCGCCACATCGCCACTCCTGAAATCAATGTCTTACACATCTGACGTCGTAATTTTCAAAACAAATTATGGGAAATTGAAGCGCAGACTAATATGAGTTTTAAAGTAACCGGTATAGATGATGACCTGTACACAGGCTGCCCGGAGTCAAGCAGTACCCAGTCAATTGCGAAATCCACGCTTCTCACAAATGAGCTTAGTCGCCGCACAACCGAATACGCAACCGGCATCACGATTTGAGGGCGCATTTCAACTAACCTAAAAAATAAAACACAATGAAAAATTTGCGGAAGATTAATCTCAGCCATTAATGAAACCCACCAAATGCATGAAAAAAGTCTACGAAAAACTACTTGACTTCCCAAATATTATAAAATTTCCCCAGAAACGATGTTCCAGTATCCTCAATAGTGTAAAACAGATTACATTTTAAGGGAGACTCAGTGCTTCAGAAAAGCTGATTGATTTAAATATAGACTCGATTAACATAGTGGCAGGTAGCTCCGTTCTGGTATTGAAGAACAATGGGTCGACATCGAGTGATTTAAATATAGATGTGCTTAAATATTATAAAGAACATAAAATCGAAGAGGCCCTCTACCCTCACCCAGCCTTGTACGTGTAAACAGATTATGTTGCTTGCAAGACGTCTTCGACAGACACCTTACAGAGATGCTGTCAACAGTATGACTAGCATACGAGGCAAGTCAGAAATCATTTCGCCATGAAGAGGAACAAACAGCCAGCTGGCCTTTCGGGGCAACAGTATAAAAGGAGAGGACAAACAGCAGAGTCAGTGTCCTTCCAGACATTCGTCGGTGGTCTCGATTAGCAGTGTTCGATTCATCAGCAGTGTCAACCGAAGGTATACTCTCTCGCTTCGCTACGTGGTTCGACACTGGCTTACAGGTAAGTGGCACGTATTGGAGTCAGGATACCAAAGTAGGGCTCAGAGACAGTGGCTTCTGGAAAGCCAAATTAATGGTTGTAAGAAGGCCAGGGCTAAAAAAAATCCAGGCGTCTGACGTTGGTCGTGTTATTTACTCGACTAATACGGCGCCCAGTCTTGCACAGACTACCAATGGGTATATCCTCCAGGAATTACTAGGGCCAAGCACTGGAGTACTCAGATACGATTCACAAAGCATCTCTGGAAAAATCGCTTAGCTTTATGGTCGAATTAGTACGCCTTCCACAGCGACCTGTAACTCCTCACCTTCCCCTTTTATAACATAATTTTAGAATACATTATAAAAACTTTGCTATAAGCAGTGTTCTTGTTTTTCTGTGGAATTCGGAGGTCACTTTTCATCCTTTTTTCAATTCCATATTCTTTAGTTTCAGCAGGTTTCATACTATTTTTCACACACATATTTTATCTACTACACATTTCTGTTCTAACTTCTGCTACTCCTAGTTCGCACACATTCATATTTTAACTATTACTCGTAATTTATCAATACCAGAATCGGCGTACTGACGATGTCCAGTTGCGGTGCTCAACAGGAATTCACGCAGTCAGTGAACCGAAACATTACTGTACATTTGATAAAATTTTTAATATAACGTACTTTTTATATAACAGAAATATTATCACTAATATCACCACATTAGAGTGCCCCACCAAATCATACGACAACGACACAACTAAAAATGTTGAAAAAAACTGACTCGAAGAAATTTTTCTTTGAAATAGTGGCGTAAGTAGCGGCAGTATGCGATCGAACTGTATAGAACCACGGTTCGCCAGTAAGCAATTGCAGTCCACCAACAAGTTCGCGAGGATATAAAAATACGTGCTCATCATCAACGGCTTCGTCTTCACCGTCTATTGGCTCCTTCAAAATTCAACACTTCAAATTTCCGATTTCAAAGGTTTTTGCCACTTAAAGATGTTGCTCACATATGCTATTTCTCTCCTCGGCATATGTCAGTTCGTGTTCAAGTGCAGGTCTCTGAATCAAAGATGACTGGAAGCCGCATGTTCAAGTTACCATTTTTGAATTTAATTTCTAAGACAATAGGAGTTTTAAGCATTTGGCACAGAATTTTACACAGGCCGTCCTGAATCAAAGCAACACGAGATCAAATGTAAAATTCACACTTCTCTCAAATGATTTTAATCACCGCACAACCGAAGAAGGTATTATTGACAGTATGCAAAAAATCACAGCGACAGAAAATTATGCAGACCTGCGAAATTTCTAGCACGCCGCTGAGTATCATAATGAGCTGTTCTTCCTCCGCATTTTGCTCAACAATTAGGTGTTTTTCGGGGACATTCTCGATCAGTAAACGATTTTCAAAAAGCGCAATCGCTTCTGACGAAGTGCCCAATTGCAGTACCTCAGCAAACCAACGATGCGCAGTTGCCAAGCAATCATTCACATCTGAAAAGTCGGCAGCATGTCTGAATAAACGGTGAAAACATGTACAACTTGCGAAAAAATTTCGACACCCGAAGTACATAGGCAAACGAAGGAACCATGCGAGAAACATTAGTTTTCAGGAACTAAAATAAAACAGCCCGAAAAATGCGGTGTAATTCAAAAACTTGCCATCAGCGCTACTC